GTGCGGGCAGAGCGCGGGGCTGTTGGGGCGGAGGGCGGACCGCGCCGTGCGGGGGGGGAAACAACGCCGGGGGTCCCAGCGGGGCGCGACGTGGCGACGTCGGGGGGCGGGGGGGGGCGAGCGGGGGCGCGAGGGACCCCCGACCCCAAAGAGCCGCCGCGAAACGAAGCCGGAGCCGCACGCCGTGCCCCAGGCCGTGGGGTTCGGGGGGGTCCCGTCCCGTGGGTGCCCCCACCCCGCCGTGACTCACGCGCTGCACTCTGCCCGCTCCGCCCCCCCCCCCCGTGTTTGCTCTGCGGGGCGGGGAGGCGCTTCGTCCCGTTCCGCTCCGGGCGGGGTTTTCCCTTGGGGTGGGGTTTTTTTAGGGGGGCCCCAATCCCGAGCCGTCCGTTGCAGAGCGGCGGCCCGGAGCGCTCCCGCTCTTCGTTCCGTTATTGCGGCCCCCCCCGCCGAACGCACCCGGGGGGCACCGCACCGCACCGCACCGCGCGGGATGCGGCAACAGCAGGGATGGGCGGCGACCCCTGGGACCCCCGCTGAAGTTGCTCCGGAGCGCCCAGGGTCCCCGCTCGGGGATGTCCAGGGACACCCTGAGACCCCAATGGGAACGTCTATGGGATTTCCCCTGGGGCACCCATGGGACCCCACTGGGGACAGCCATGAGGGTGTCCAGGAACACTCGTCCCGTTGGGGACCCGTGGGACCCCACTGGGGGCCGTCCAGGACCACCTTCAGACCCCCATTAGGGTGCTGAGGGCCCCCATTGGACCCCACCGGGGATGTCCGTGGGACCCCCTCTCCCTCCTCACCCGCAGCCGACACGCAGTACCAGACTTGGCCACACCGGGACCCCCAGCCACCCATCAGCCCTCCCTCCCCGACCCCCCCAGGCCCCATGGAGGGCGCCGCGCCCCCCCCGGGCTGCTCGGCCACGTGGATGGAGGACGGCCGGCGTCGGGAGCGGCGCTGGGTGAAATACGACGGCATCGGGCCGGTGGATGAGACGGGGCTGCCGCTGGCCTCGCGTTCTGTGAGTGAGGGCAACTGGGGGGGGGGGCTGCGTCCCTGGACCCCTCCTCACCGCCCCACTGCGCCCCACAGAGCGTGGATCAGCCCCGAGATTGGTACCGCAGGATGTTCCAGCAGATCCACGGCAAGCTGCCGGGTGAGTGCCGAATGGCACTGCCTGGGGCAATGCGGCACAATATGGCACAATATGGCACAATATGGCTCTGCATGGCACAATATGGCACTGCATGGCACTGCATGGCACAATATGGCACTGCATGGCACAATATGGCACTGCGTGGCACTGCATGGCGCTGCGTGGCACTGCATGGCACAATATGGCACAATATGGCTCTGCATGGCGCTGCGTGGCACTGCATGGCACAATATGGCACTGCGTGGCAGCACTCAGCCCCTTCTCTTCCTTCTGTAGAACCAGAGTGGGACACACCGTGCTGCACTACAGGTGAGCATCCCACTCTGTGTGGGACCCCAGCAATGCCTGCATCCCATCCCATCCCATCCCATCCCATCCCGTCCCGTCCCGTCCCGTCCCGTCCCGTCCCATCCCCATCCCCATCCCCATCCCCATCCCATCCCATCCCCATCCCCATCCCCATCCCATCCCATCCCATCCCATCCCATCCCATCCCATCCCATCCCATCCCCCACCCCCCTCTCCCCACCCCCCAGTTCTGCAGAGATCTGAACCAGCCCTGGATCCTCCGGCGCTGCCCAACGGCTGGGAGCGGTGAGCTGAGCTCTGGCTGGGTTGGGGGCTCAGTGTGACTCACAGCGGGGGCTCAGAGGCCGCTGCCCCCCAGGACCCCGTGGGGCGCCGCCGATGGCACCGCAGAGCCGGGCAGCATCTTTGACTACGAAGCTGACGCGGTGCCAGCACAGCGTGGGCAGGTGGGAGCCCACAATGGGGCACCCCACAGAAGTGTGGGATGTGAGCACCACGACCCCAAATCCCCTCTGCAGCCCCCAGGAGCTGCGCCTGCAGTGCAGCCCATCGAGGTACGGCGCCGCCCCACACCACGGTGCCACCCCCAGCGCCCTGTGGGGTGATGCTGGGATGTGACGCTCTGTGGGGTGACCTTGGGATGTGGAGCCCTATGGGATGATGCTGGGATGCGCTGCTCTATGGGGTGATGCTGGGATGCGCTGCTCTATGGGGTGATGCTGGGATGCGCTGCTCTATGGGGTGATGCTGGGATGTGCTGCTCTATGGGGTGATGCTGGGATGTGCTGCTCTATGGGGTGATGCTGGCATGTGACGCTGTATGGGATGGCTCTGTGATGCGGTGCCTTATGGGGTGACTTTGGGATGTGGCGCTCAATGGGGTGACCCTGGGACTCTGTGCCCTATGGGGTGGCCTTGTGATGCTGTGCCCTATGGGGTGACCCCAATGCGCTGCCCTCCCAGGTGCAGCTGCAGCGGGAATTGGAACAGCTGAGCGCTGAACTGGATGAGGACATCCGCGCCATGGAGCGGCCGCAGCGGGTAGTGGGGCTGGGGGCGGCCCTATGGGGCGGCGCTATGGGGCGGCGCTATGGGGCGGCGCTATGGGGTGGCCGGGAGGGGTTGAGGGGGGTGGGGGGTATCCAGATGTGCCCGCCCAGATGTGCCCAGATGTGCCCAGCACTGGGTGGCACATGGGGCGGTTCGGTGCCACCCCAACTTGGGATTCCCACCCCGGCTGCCCCACAGTGCCCCACTGCCCGCAGCACCCGCAGCACCCACAGAGCATCGCCGACCCCCACCGCACCGCCGTGAGTACGGCCCCGCAACCCCCACAGCCCCCAAACCCCAAAGAATCACTGACCCCAAACCCCGAACAACCCCAAACCCTTGGCGCTATGGGGCACCCCGGGGTTCTTTAAGGGCAGC